AATCCGTGCTTAACTTTTTCGATGAATCCTGCTAGCAAACCAGCAATTCTCCCTTTTCTTGTGTTTTTGTATTTTTATCTTCAATAGAATAGTTGAAGCTGTCAGTACTCACTGCTGCCACCCGCTGGTTTTAGGTGGGAACTGCTTGTTCCAGCAAAATTTGTTTATTTATTTTTTTTTAATTCCTCCCCTTATTCTATGGAGGACTCTCTCTGCCATAATCAAAAATAAATACAGAAATAAATAAATAAGCATACAATTAATTGCACCCAAAAATACAATAAATAAATAAATGTAGGTAGAAAATAAATTATCCAGTGAGACATAAATGTATGAATCTTTTAATAAGCTTCTTTATTTATTCACTTTAGTTATACTTACCTTATTTATTTATTGTCCGTTATAATCTTCAACTTTATTTATTTATTACTTACTTTTTTAAAGTATTTATTTGTGTGCATGATATATTTCCTTTGTATTTTTTTACCCTATTTCTTTCTTCCGTGCTATTTATTTCTCTCTGCCCTTTTTACATTTCTGTCTGTATTTCTGCCTCATTATGCAAATGAGGAGGGGGTGGGTCTTAGAGGGTTAATTTAATTAGCTAATAACTAAACTATTTTACTTAATCTTTTAATTTGAGCATTTCATTTTTATAAATGTACGCTTTCCTTCTCAAATAATAAAAAGAACATAAATAGGTTGGATGGAAGTTAGTAAGGAATCAAAGTAAACACAAAATAAAATCATTATATTAACCTGCATTTATAAAACTGCAGCTGTCCTATAATCACATTTAAACATGATGAATTAAATTAATTAGTTTTACTTTGTTTTCACCTGAGCTGCTTTGCTGAGCTCCGATAGCTCAGAGTGTTAAACAGCTGATCCCAGGCTGTTCTCTACATCCAGCCTGCTCCTCTGCTTGGTTTGGATGTGTGTCACAGCTAAAGGTGAACTCTAACATATCAGAAGAATGTACTTTTTGGTGGATAAAAACCAGTTTAATTTTTCAGTTGGCTCCTTGCAAAGCAAAACAGACCCTGTTTTATTTTACTACCTAAGAAATCTGTCATGTAACAAGAGTGGCCTGGTTACATGACTGACTCCTGGCCTGAAAAGAATCTCCCAGTCCAGCCCTGCCATGACCCCAGAGCTCAGCTGAACATTTGGACCATGTAACCAGGCAGGGTCCCCTGCTTGTAGCTCAAAGGAAGAGCATGATGCTGCCACGAACTTTCATATCTGCAGGGTTCCTGCAGAACCTTTAAAAAGTCTTAAAAGGCATTACATTTATCAGTATAAAAATAAGGCCTTAATTGGTTTTAAAATGTCTTAAATCAGTCTTTCTTAGGTCTTTGAAATTGTCACCAAGTCATAAACAGGATTTTATCAGGATTCAAATCAATTTTTTGGCATTTACCAAACTGATTGACTGTAACCATCATTAGTTCCATCCTGAAAGCAATAAAAACGAGGTTGCAAACAGACCTTAGGGTGATGCGCCAATAATGTAGGGAAGTGTAAATTCAATCAAAATCCAGCCAAGTGTTTTCTGCATGGCTAAAAACAGAACCAGGTGATGTATATGAGGAAACGGCGTATTTTGAGCAAGAATTCATTCAAGCTCGGCACATTGGGAATCAAAGCTGTGGAGTCAGACATGTGAAGAGTGAAAAACAAAGCGCCAAAATTAAGTTACAGAGAAGCAGCAGCTTTTTCTCTCAGTTTTGTTCCTCCCTCGTCTCTGCAAAGCCTCTACAGGATCTCCCACGTCAAAAAAAGCAGCAGCAGCACCAAATCTCCAGATAATGTTTGTCGGTTCGCCTACAATGAAAGCAGAGCTATTATGGACTTTGAGTCGGGATCAGAACAAATGCTGATGAAGATTCTCAGTCATCCAGGTCATACTCATTCCGTAAAAGTTCAAAAAAATATCCGCTGGACTTGGTTTCCAAGATTTGAAGACGTTTCG